AACGAATGGGGGCTCTTGTCTGGGTAGCTCTGAGCCCTAAGCAAAAGGGTCGTTAGACTCATGGTAGGTAAAAAGGGCTATTTTACAAAGATCATGGGTTCACCAAGTCATAGATGGGCCACCGGAAGCAAGTTGAGCCAGGGAACAGCAACATTTTGGGGGTCCTAAACTACAACCCGTATGGTAGCCACGAGCGGTATGTTTCGTTGCAGCCGAAGGAAAATGAATAGAGCCAAAGCAATCTGAAAACCTAGTCCCTGAACCCATGCCAACAGCAGTGAAGTACATGAACATGGACAACCCGACATGGGTTGCCCCATGTCATGTTTTCAGGTAGGATTGGCGAAACAAAGCCTCACCTGTTGGAACCTGGACAAAAACTGGACCAACCATGGCAAAAGGTCAAAAGGCCGACCGCTTTAGGCAAATGAGTTTAAAAACAATTCCGAGGGCGCCACTTGCAGACTCATCCGCCTGAGTGGGAAACCGGGGGATTACATCTCTTCCTGCGTCTGTTTTTCGTACCTAGCAGACGCCGTGCTCAAAAAAAATCTCAGAACCTGATGGGCTCGCTGAACCGCTGCAGCCTTTAGCAGGAAGCCATGTGGGAGTAGGGGTACCTTTTTCCATGTGGGACATATCATTCTTTGAATCTTCCCAAGTTGCCATCCCATGCAAAGGACCTTTTGATCAACCCCCATAGGACGGAGAGCTGAGCACCTTTTGACCATTGGGCCAACCTGCATACAATACCGCGACATGTTACGAAGGCCACAGGCAATCCGCAGATTTCTCTTTACCACCTTCTGTATTCAACCCACTTACCCTCCAACCAATTAACATGGAACCTGACAGGAGGGTCCTGGAAGACCATTCAAATATGTGGGCAAGAAGGAAAAAACAACGACTAAAAAACAACACGGCCAGTAAGAATCCAGGTCCTCCAGTAGAAAGGTTAGAATAAGGGTACTTTTTCTTTTTCTGTAGAACCAAAAAAATGGAACCCTCCCAACCAAAAAAGGAAACGGTACAAGTTGGCACCAATTGGGGCGCCTAGCTTGGGAACCACACGCCCAGTAAGAATTTCCATTTGCTGTTTTGCTTTTTTGCCCCCTGGTAAAAATGAAAAATATGTCCAGTAGTGACATCGATTCCCTTTAAAACCAACAGGGCAAAACACCAAATGTTAAGCAACTGGAAGAGAATGGTTCCTTCCGGCTGGCCGTATGGATCCGATCCCCGCCTTGACCGAGAGCGCCTCTGCAGCAGCTGCGCCGGTCCCGGCGATGGCGCCCACCTCACATCTCACGTGAGCACTGGGAAATTTGGTCCAGGGTGGACTCACCTGCGGCTGTTGGGCCAGAAAAAATTGGGTAACCCTAACATGGGCTTCTTGCCTGGTCATTTTTTTAAAACGACAGAGTAACCCTAAGATTGGTTGGGAAGCATGGACTCTCTCTCTCTCTCTCTCTCTGCCCTTGCGTCCAGAGGGTCTTGACTCAAGGCAACGAAACTTGGGCGAACACCAGCGGTTTTCTGGTGGCTTCATTTTCACCCGTACCCATGTGTGTCTTGTTTCACGGGCCATTCGTTTCCTGCTGATTTCGTGTGGCAACCCGAGAGAGAACGGTGTGCTTTTCGGGGCCCCCCCTGTGGCACACACTGGCCGGTTTCATGACCTTCATATGGCTGTGGGTCAAAGTTAGGTACCCAAAATGGGTTGCCCTGGCAAATAGAACCAAGGACTAAAACCTGCGCCCCTTCTGGTTTAACTTTGACCCATACTCATATGGCAGTGCGGGACCCAAATCGGCTTGCCACGTAGGATGCACAGAGTGAGCTGACAGCAAAGAACAGTTCACTCTCATATGAGTCTGTCAATTTAACCCCACCCCCCCCCCCCCCCCCCCCCCGCCCCCCCCCCCCCCCCAAAAAAAAAAAAAGAAGAAGAAGAAACAACAAAGCAAAACAAAGCAAATCCAACAAATACCAAAACAATACAAAACACAAAGAAGCCTTCCTCCCGGCTTCCCTTCAAAACCACCATCAAAAAGAGGGTGACCTCCAAAAAGACATGCACAAACTGGACCGTTCGAGATCTAACTACCCGCTCGCCGCCACGGAAAGGGGATAGGCGTTTGGGGCTCTGAGCCGTGCATGAGCCAAGTTGAAGGCAGGGGCGTCAGAGCGGGCAAAGGTTTTCCGTTTGATGCCCCTCTTGGGCAAAACCAAATATACGTATATATATATATGCATATACATATATATATATACATGTATATTCATATATATATATATACATAGATACGGGGTAGAGGAACCCCCTACAAGAGAAGGCACCTTCTTTTGAGGCTCCCTGTGTACTGCCCGCGTCGGGTCAGGCATCCATGTCTGAAGCGCCTAGACCAGTCGAGACTGGACTTGCAGACATGTGGTTCGACTCTTTGCCACGGCAACCTGGCAACCTGGCTTGCCATCAGCGGGCCCGCGACTCAGTGGCTAGGGGGGGCCTTTCAAAGGCCCTTTTGAGGCATTCCGTCAGAGGTTCCGCAAGTGTTTGCCCCGATTTGTGTCTTAGGGCCTTGGGTTTGATTTGGGCTGTTCGATTTGGGCCCAATATAGCAGCCATCGGGGATTTCCCGCAATCGGGACACCAGATTGCAGGACACCAACCCAACAAATGAAGTCGCACATGGGTTCTGGGTGTGTCTGGATTCTGGGGACCTCTTTTGGTAAAGGAAACCCACCATTTTGAAGGTACACACCTGTGTGTCATTCCGGGATGTCTTCTTTGACTTTGTGCACAATGCCGTCTCGCCACTTCAACGTGGTTGCCCTGCAGCTGAAACCGACTCCTCAAAAACCCATGTCACTGGCATCTAGTGCGAAAGCGACAAGGCGCCATCCAATCTTCATGCCATTTCCCCCCAGCTCCTGTTGTATTGGCTGTTGAAAACACAGATCTCTCCTTTAGACGCTCTCCTCAGCGAAGCCATAGCTCCAAGGATAGGGAACTCCTCCTGAAAGGGCATCCTCTTGTGCTCATCCATAGCAATGTCCCATCCCAGCAATCTCAAACCCATTTTCCCATGTTGACCCAGGATTAATAAACCCGTCCCATTGTTAGGGGGGTGTTCCCTCCAACAGTGACGAAACCCCACTAAAAGGGGACACCCCCATATTCATCAACCGGGGTTTATTAATCCGGGGTGAACGGTACTTCTCACTTTGCCGGACGGTTCGGCAGTGGCTCCCGGCAGTGCGGCTGCGCTGCAACTTGGGCTTCGGAGCAGACGTCTCCGGCCTGACGGATGCGTGGGTGTCCAATCCATCGAAAACGGATGCCCCTGGATCGCCAGTTGCGATCGCTTTTTTCTCCATGCACTTCACCCCAAAAACCGATCGCAACAGTGACTGAAAAAGATCGATCGCAACTTGGCTAGGTCTCTTGAAGTAATCCCAAGCAAATCGTCTTCCCTTCGATCTGTTGGCGAGGGTTCGGAGTGGTCGCCCTTTTCTGCAACGAGGGCTTCAAGTTCCCAAACCACTCCAAACTACCCGGGCTACATGAATGTTTGGCCGTTGCCTTCAATCAAACCCAAGACGACGGGGAGCCAGGTCTGGTTTCCCGCAACTGGCGGGAAGGCGGGCTTGGCCAACCCCAGACTTGGCCAAGCCCGCAGACTGGAGATTGAGCCTTGAAGCCCTCAAACTGGAATACGTGTGGGTTGGAAGCAGCTCAAAAAACACAACCCCTCAAAAGGAATCGCTTTGAGGGATTCAGTTATATGTCCATAGTTATATGTCCGTTCAAAACCGCGAATTTTGGCTCTGGTTGTAGGGGACCCCCCAAATCTAACGTGGTTTTCATTTTGGTTTCCCTACAAAAAGCAGACACTCAAAGAAGACATATTTTCTCGCATTGTTAAAATGGCCGCTCACAGGTTTGAAGGGCGCTTGGGTCACCGTGCCCTTGGGACAGATTCCTGGAGTCAATCAACTTGCCTGGCAACCTTACTCTTTCTCCTCCTTCTTCTGTTTTTGTTTTTGGGGGGGGGAGGTTCTGAAAATCGGCGTCTCCTTGAAAACGGGCCCCTTCTGAAATCTCCCTTTGCCTTTCCAGCTGGATCCCAAGGCTTCGGTCCTGGGGTCCGGACCCAAACTCCTCCATGGACTTGCGGAGGTCCTCCGACGTTACCCCCAAAAAACCCTCCCGGTTCCACTCACGGAACGGAGCCTGGAAATAGGTCAACCCAAGGACTTGATAAAAGGACTGGGAAATCCATGTAGATTCCCTTACGCCCGTGAGGTATGACATCTGGAGTGCTCAGGAGTACTGATTCCGATGTGAATCATCTAAACTCGTTGCTGGCACACGTGCGCAGCTTTCAAGCTCCCGCCTGTTCTCTGTTTCATTTTGCCCACTTCCCCCTTGAGGCTTGGTGGTTTGGATGCTGGTGTGTAGCATGGGCAATCCAAACCACCAATCCAACCTGCTTCTGGGAACCTGCTCTTGTGCACCTATGTCGAGGCACCCGAGGCAGATATCCCAAAAAAGTGACCCCCAGAAATTACACCTTGACATGTTGTCGAGCTGTCCCTTATATGTAAGTCATTTTAAATGTTCAGTTGCTATTCAACGCTTGTTGTCATTCAAGCTACGTACACGCACCATCTAATGCACACACATTTGTCAATTTCACGTGTATATGTGTATATATATATATATTATATTGTCAATTTGACAAATATTGAGCTAACTTTTGCAACATTTCGAGTTGTAAATTTGCATGGGTGGGGACTTCTAGGTATCAGGGGAAAGGACTCTGCGCTGGACTCTGAAGAAACGCAAATTATTACATATTACAATGTAGTACTAGGGCCTAGTCCGTTTAAATCCAATCAAATCAGACCGCGCATGGCTGAAACACATATCTTTTCGCACTAAGGAAGTGTTGCTCCTCCGCTTTGCGGGCAGCTGGAAAAGGATCAGTGAGACCTTAGAAGATTTGGCTGCAACACTTCCAGACCACCACGCTAGGCAGCACCAGCAATGCACTGAAGACCAGGGAGCCGGGCAAAACGCCTAAGGAGTTGAACAAGAGCTCAATGACGCCTAGGGAAATGAGGAGCACCGCCGTGTATGTGGCACTTGCCACGAGCTTCTGAAGGCTGGGGTAGGAACGGGGCATGCACCGCATGGAGACCAAGACCAGTCCTGGCACTGCCAAAGAACCAATGAAGGTACTTGCCAAGCCAAAAATCAGATTGCCGAGTCCGACCATCATCTCCCGCTGCAAAAACCATGCAGCTGCAAAGTCCATTTGGGCCCACAGTAAGGGAAGGGCTGCTATTATCACCAAATGACTCGGACAGAATTTGCCGCCAAAATGCCTGTCCAAGGCATCCTTCACCCCGGTTTGAACCGACTGCTCAAATTCCTCCACGGAACCGAACCAAGCCTGAACGCATTTCTGCATGATGCCACGATCACACAGTATGTCTGCCCCGTTTTGAGTCCTGTGCCGCACAGAGCAGCAATAGACTTCAGCCTCTGCAAATCGAAACTTCTGCAACTGAGCCTTGAGGCTCTGAAGACTTTGGGAGTATCTCTTCAGAACCCCTGCAAGGACCCAGCCATAGGTGCAGGTTCCCAGAAGCAACATAGGAGCGGTGAAGGGGCTGTCATTTGGAAGTACCACGCTGGTAGACCACATCAGCGTGTTAAACCAAAAGCTTCCCAAGACATAAACTGTCAGAGACACGGGCTCGATGATCAATGCCTCGTCCTGGTGGGTTTTCAGAAAGGCCGCCATTTCGAACAAACACCACAGCCTTTGGCAATAGGTCACGTCCCAAATCACCAGCAAAGCCTTGGAATGCTTCAGACAGGCTCCGATGTTCAGCACCCCTTCGGCCTTTGCTCCAGGATCTGTCTGGTTGATGCAGAGTCGATCCAAAAACACCATATCTCGAGGAGGGCGGAAAAACAGCACCAACACAAAAAGTAGATGCCCGAGGCACAAAGACCATAGTCCCTGGAGGACAGTTCCCGTGCCAAATCGTGGAGCTCTCTCGAAGCCCGGCAAGAGGCCGAAAGAAAAAAGGATCGTCCCCAACACTGCACCCAAAGTACCAGCCAGCGCAGCAGCCGTCAAATTGTAAAATCTGTGCAAGGTCAGTGTCTTCAGCAATGGTGATGCCTGCCAGCTATGGGATATGAATTTGCTGATCTCTTTCACCTTTCGGCTATCCTGAAAGCTCACTTGAGCGTTGTGTCGTAACGCCCGCCCCGCACGCCTCATGATGCGATGCGCTGGCGTGGCTCGAAGGAACTTCTCATCTGTCAAGCACATCGAGGCCAGGACTTGTGCGAGGACAATGAAGGGATGCTCATTCGCATCCTTGGTTGCTGCAACGACCCCCCCCTTGTAAAAAGTGAACAACTTTTTGGGGGTTTGGTGGAAAACCCAACTTGATTTCAACCAACAAGTTGAAGTCTAAAGATCCAACCCAATAGCGGTCAAGCATCATGGTCCGCATTGCCAATGCCGCCCATCCCCTCCAATCGTTGTTCGTGGGGCACCGGAGCTTCCCTGGCCTCAGTCTCAACGATTTCAGATGCCATGGCTCGCTGCGGCTCAGCCATCAGGGCACAACCTAGATCCCAGGTCCTTGTTCTTCCTGGTTTAAAGAAGTAACGGAAAAATACCTTATTCCGGATCTTCAGGACCTTGGATGGTTTGGAGATGATTTTGAGGCTGTGATGCTTTTTTTTCTTCCCATGGTAGCGTGCTTCGCTCTTTTTTTTCTGCCGGAGCACAATGTCTATGCCAGTCTGCCGAGCTTCTGACTTGAGTGCAAAGCATGCAAGTTTGAGAGGATGCCGCCCTACCAAGTCACCGACATGGTTTTGCGTCAGCCTTGAAGATAGCATTAGATTGATGTCTACGCCAAGTCTCGAAGATGTCAACTTCCGAAGTTAGCCGCTTCGCCTTCGCCCTCAAACATGCGAGCCAGGCTGCGGCACGCTCAGGCATGCTCAACTGAGGTTCAGCGGCTCACGCCCAGAAGCTCGGGGCCGATCCTAGGTCCTTGTGGGAAAATGATCTAGTCGTCATATTAGACATCTTGGAGATCGTGGATCTGAATTTGAGGTTCTGACGCTAATGGTGCCCACGGCATCTACCTTGACTGCAAAGCATGAGCAACAAGAACCGCAAAAAACTCAACCAAATGTCTGAGAAGGGGCTGAAAAAACTAAGCAAAACTGCAAACAAACCCATCATACATACCACATAAAGCAATATCTTATCCAAAAGCTGGGGTAACCGTGGACAGTTTGGACAGTTATTCATCATTCTTCATGACGTAACATCACCATGCCCAGAAATCCGTGATCGACACTACATGAAGACTTCCATTTGCTTCTTTGCCCCCGGGAAAAAAAAGAGAACATATTTCTAGCAGCGACATCGGATCCCTTCAAAACCAACAGTGGGAAAAAAAAAACATCTTCTGGAGCATGTCCAGTCAAATGGATTTCCAACTTCAAAACCACCAGGGCACAAAATGGAACAATCTATTTTATCTCAGCTGCCCAAAGGGCCCAGAACTAAAAGGTGATCACCTTTTGGCACCTCTACTAAAAATGGTTGCCAACATGGGAAAACCAAAAGGTCAAAATGTCGGCTTTGGACAACTGAGTCATTTCAGCATATGGAAGAAGCATCAAACGCCGTGCCCGCTTCTAGATCTCCTCCAGAGCGTCTGGGTCGTCACCTGGAGATCCAGATTTGAGACAAGCCGTCACACCCAATAAACCCGGCCCGTTCCGAAAGGCCGGAAAAAGGATTCCCACTCTCCCAAAGAAAGGGCCCCTCTTTTTGAGTGGGGAGTTGGAGTGAAGAAAGGGTCCTGGGGAAGCTGGGGGCTGCCGGCAGCCCTTGCCCTTGTTGGGATATCCCTCAAAAAAATCGGTGCAGGACGCTTTTTGCGCGCGGTCCGAACAGCCGGCCCCTCGAAACGGGTCGGCTTCGCCCTCTTCGTCTTTAAAAAACCACCTCAAAGAAAGGGGGGGGAGCTCACCCGAATGTTTTCGGCCTGCACTTCTAAGAACAACTTGGTGGCAGGCGAGGCCGGTCACGTGCTCAACTTTGTGGGGTACACTCACCAAAAAAACAGCTAACTAACTAACATGGAAGTGTGCAAAAAGGCCCTGAAGAGGAAAGCCGTCTTTCTGCAGTCTGTGCACAAACCCATATCGCTGGTCGGGTAATTTCGGCCAAAACAGGTACAGCCTAAAGCTCCCTGATAGCAACCGAGGCTCCGCGGGATCGGAGAAGCCATCCTTGTTTTCAAAAAGATAGCAGTTCAAGGTCAAACCAACATGCTCCCTTTGAAACTTCCGTTCTTGCTTCAGTCCCCTGGAAAAGAAGTAAAACGGCGTCCGGTAGTGAAATCGATTTTCTTTATCCTAAACCAGGGGATTGCAACTGGAAGGAGCGCATCACCTCACAGTTACCCAGTTACCACGTCTGGGGGCTCGAACGTTGCTTCACCTTCTGCAAGATCTGCTCCTCAGACCACGGGCTTAGGCCGTCTGCCAATGCCTGCGGTGGTTTTTTTGGGGACGCTTGCCCCAAGGGCTGGGGTTCTCTTGGCTTCCTTCTGCATCACACCCAAAAGGGGTACAGTACCCTGGACATAGATGGCTGTGGCTCAAAAAGCCAGTACCAAAATGGAACCCTGGTAAGTGGAAACATGGACCAACACCTGCGTAACCCCTGCTGTTTAAATTTTGAGCCACACCCATATCACACACCCCATTGGAACATGGAGTCGGTGAAAACACGTGACAGGAAGCGGAGGGTTGAATCTGATGCACACCAAAACACCCGTGGAGAAATGGAGAAATGCCTGCTCGGCCAATTTTTCCCGTGGCAGGGCATGGACTTACTTGCCAAGAGGACAAAGGACAAAGGACATAAAAGCTGGCCGCCTATTGGGGGCACGACTAAAACATGGACCAACATAGGGAAACCCAAAGGTCAAAGGGTCGATTCGCTTTGGGCGGCTCAGAGTTGAAGGACAAACGATTGCCTTTGAACAGAGGCGGCAACCAGAAAAGCCGACCCGCGGTGCAAACAAGGGCTCCCCATGGCTCCCCCATTGTGTCGGAGTTCCATTTTTTCGGGAACGGACCAAGAAAAACCACCCATGGCTGTGTTAAACATGCAGCCCACAACGAAAGTCAACTGCAAACGACAAAACAACTGGAGAATTGGACGCCCGCTTGGGGAATTGCTGGAGGCAAACGCGCTGAGGCGAGCACGCAGCGTTCGCGCGCAGCCTGGGCCGGTGACCATGGGACTGGTCACAATTCTCAGTTGCCCAAAGCATATCGCCCTGTTGAACTTTTGTTTCCCCATTTTGGTCCTTTGTTATTCATGGCCTCAGCTTGGTTGACGTTGAAGGGGAGCAACAATCTAAATTTTAGCAGTTAAGTGGGGATTTCCCACTAAACCACAATAAGCAAAAATGTAAAATGTTTCCCAACAACCATGTCAGAAGGTGTATTTCCTTTGGGCAAGGTGGCTGAAAGTGACCAACTCTTGGTGTGGAGCCCAAACCAGGAAATCAACTATGTCCTACAGAGCTAAGAACCGGACGGCTGGGAAACGCCAAGGCAAAAGCTAACCTTTTGCCGGAAAGGAGAAATGATGAAATTACAAGTCAAAAAGTCAAAAAGGCGGTCACCTATCATGGTTCAGTTTCTTTTGTTTTCATTCAAAAGCAACCATTTTGAGAAGTTCCAAATGGGTTCTAACAAATGGGTTCTGGAATGGAAGCACGACTGTCCTTTGCCAGCCGGAACTGAGTGATTTAATCTTTAGGGTTCCACCCCACAAAAGGAAACCAAAACTCTTCAACAACAAACCCAGCCACCCCGCCACTCATTTGGTTTTCCTTTGGGCTTTCTTTAGAACCAACCCAAAGGGGGTGCCCTCAAAACGGACGCGCCCATATCATATATCACTCCAATCCACCACTCTCTTCAGGTAAGGCTGGCTGCACCAGCGAGACCTTTCGAAACCAATTGCAGCAAGGCATGGGAAAAGTGATAAATGAGCTTTTTCCTAAAGCTCGCAGTTCAGGGTGCGGGACGTGCGGGACGTGCGTATTCAGGCAATGACGACGCGTTGGACTGTGTTTGTTTTGCGTTCTTCAGCCTTGTAAACTGCAAACATGCATGCGTGTGTTAAAACACGTCGGTTGAAGGGCCACAGTGGCAACGTGCTCCTTTTCGCGTCGGCTCTTAACCATTCCTCCAAATCGACTGGAAAAAGCCTGGACCTAAATGGCAACCGGGAAAAAGGGAAACACCGAGACTTCGAAATTAATGAGACATGGTGCGACTGTACCAGCCAACCACACCCAACTCAGCTACCCCTTAATTGAAGATTTGGATTAGTGGTTTGGGATTTGAACCCCGGTTCTTTTTGAAAACCCGAATTTGTCCAAACCACCAAACCAAACCACCAATTGTCACACAAACTTGTGGTTTGGAGTTCCCCATTTACCCTTCACAAGAACCAGGCTCCAGTTCCCGCCGGGCTCGTTGAAGCACGTACCTGAAAATTCCGACCAACTCCCCCCGCCGGTGACTTCTCTCGCCCGTGCTTTTCCAAAGCGCGCCCGCGCCTGGCGCGCCGTTTCGGAGAGCCGCAGCCTCTCCTGGAGCTCGTGCTTCTGCTCGGAGAGCTTCCTCGCTCGAGCGTAGGCGAGCGGGCCATTTCGCCGGCTTCCCATGGCTTCCCCATGGGAGTGTCACT